GCCATCTCTGGAGACCCTCTTCAGCTCGGCGCGAGGAGAGGAGACGAGGCGCTGCCGCTGCCGCACCGCTGCGGCTGCCAACGCATCGTCGGGTGCGAGCTCTTGTTGTCGGCATCTGAGTAGGCGCTGCGGCCGCCGCTCCGGACACACCCTCCCCTACCCCACGGTACCCGAACCCACCCTCCCCTACCCCACGGTACCCGAACCCACCCTCCTCTACCCCGCGGTACCCGAACCCACCCTCCCCTACCCCGCGGTACCCGAACCCATCTGTAGGCGCTGCCGCCGCCGCTCCGGTTGCCCGTTCTGCTCGCCCGGCTCGCCCAGCAGATGCCGGAGATGGGCGCGCTGCCAAACGCGCTGCCTCTGCCGGCGCTCGCCCACCGCTTGTCGCTGCTGCTGCACGCCGCGGCGCACGTGCAGGAGGCGCCGCTGGAGAGGCTCAGGCTTCCGGTGCATGTCTTTGCGTCGTCCGAGGACCGCGAGAGGAGCCGAGAGGACCCGAGAGGACCCGAGAGGACCCGAGAGCAGCCGAGAGCAGCCGAGAGCAGCCGAGAGGACCCGAGAGGACCCGAGAGGACCCGAGATTGCCCGAGATTATCCGAGATTGCCCGAGATTGCCCGAGATTGCCCGAGATTGCCCGCGAGCTCTCCGCTTGCTCACACTGTGGCTCGCTGTGACTCCGACGCGCCCTTCCCCCCCCCCCCCCCAAGGACCGGGTCCTCCCCTCCACCGACGAAGCGAGGAGGCTGCGGCGCCGCTTGCCAAACTGCCGCACCTCGCCGCTGCCAGAGTCGGGGCACGTGCCGCTGCTCGAAGCTAGGGTCGACCTCGCCCGAGGGCGCCTCCCCTGTTCTGCCCTCTCCAGCGGCGCGCAGCCTTGAGTCCGTCCTCCTCGTAGGTCGACCTCGCCCGAAGCTTGCGCGACGTCGGCTTCACCGGCCGCACGCCGCTCGGCAGCAAGCCAAAGGACTACGTCGCCGACTTCGCGCCGCCCTCTGCCGAGCAGATCCTCAACGCCACGCAGCGCCTCCGCTCCGTCCGCAACCTGGTCTCGCCCGTCTTTCTCTCCACCGAGGCGGGCGGCCGCCGCGTCGCCGGCCTCAGCGGCCTGCCCCCGCTCTCGGCGGACGACATCGCCGCCGCCGCGCCGCCGCCGCGGCGGCCGCCGCCGCCGCCGCCGTCCGGCGCGTCCCCGGTGCTCAAGGAGCGCGCCCAGGGCGTGCCTCCGGTGCTCTTCGTCGGCAACCACCAGCTGTACGGCTTCCCGGCCTAGAAGCGGAATACGTGTTCTTGTATTCCAACCAGCGCCCGAGAGGACACGTATTCCGCTGTATTCGGCCGCATTCCGCTGTATTCACTGTACTCCTCTCCGTTGTATTCACGCGGTGCTCTGAAGACGCTGCACAAGACCGTCCTCCCGCCCTGAGGTTGGCGTCTTCAGCACGTAGGCTTCTCGGACCTCCCTCTCGTGGTGGAGGAGATCCTCGCGCAGCGCGGCGCCCTTGTGCGCGCCCTCGCCCACCCGGTCGCCTTCTCCAGCAGCAGGACCACCGCAGGCGCCAACGCCACCGCCACGGGCGGCGGCGGCGGCGGCGGCGGCGGCGGCCTGGTGGACTTTGAGACGTTCGGCGCGGTGCCGGTCTCGGGCAAGGCGCTCTTCAAGCTGCTCTCGCGCGGCGAGCACACCTTGCTCTACCCGGGCGGCGTGCGCGAGGCCTTCAAGTCGACGAAACGGGGCGAGAGCTACCAGCTCTTCTGGCCGGACGCGTCGGAGTCGGCGGACTTTGCGCGCGTCGCCGCAAGATTCAACGCCACCATCGTTCCCGTCGCCGCCGTCGGCGCGGAGGAGGGTTTCGAGATGCTGCTCGATGCGGACGAGTTGCTTGCGCTGCCCTTCCTCGGCGGCCGCGTCAAGGAGGGCGCGGCGCGCGCGCCAGTCGGCCGCCCCGGCGAGCGGTTCGTCTCGCCGGTCTCGCTGCCCAAGCTGCCGGGCCGCTACTACTTTCTCTTCGGCGCGCCCATCGCCACCGGCGGTGTCGACGCACGCGACAAGGCCGCGTGCGCCGCGCTGTACTCCCAGGTGCAGCGCGAGCTCGAGGAGGCGCTGCAGTATTTGCTGAGCAAGCGCGACGCCGACCCCTATCAGGAGGCGCTTCCCCGCGTCGCCGTCGAGGCCTCGTGGAACTGGGACCGCCAGGTGCCCACCTTCCGGCCGTGAGGCGGCGCAATATACGGTGTTTCGCGGATTCGACTATCTGCCTACGGGTGAAGGTAAGCGATGGCGGCGGCTTCTGAGAAAGCATCGTTCGTGTATGATCTCCTAAAAAAATACTTCCGGGCCCGGGTGTGCAGCGCGTGTGCGGGGATCCGGGATCGGCGGACGGCGCCTTAACGACCGCCCAGACCCCAGTCCCCATTAGAAGCTTTTCCGTGAGCAAACCAATCGGGCTACAGGATCATCAGCACATGTCCCCTCCACAACACCAACATTCAGTCGCCTAGACATACTCGCTCCCTCCCGAGGGGGGCAGCGGGTTCGGCGACCTGGTGTATAGACGAGGGAATCGAGGGACCGGAGGGCTTTCGCGACAGCGACGATGACGACGAAGGCAGGGGAGGAGACGGAGGGGCGACACGCAGGAGGAGCGAAATCGTGAACGGCCCGAGCAGAGAGGGCGACGGCAGGGCACGAGGGAACAACGGAGACGCTACCAATGACGCGAACCGAGGCACGGGCGACGGCGGGGACGGGGAGGGCGACAGCGACGTCGAGGTTGACGCAACCGTATCGAGAGCGCCACCCAAAAGGAGGCGGACGGCCATGGAGGTCACCGAATGGAGGGCGAACGGCACGATACGAAAAGGCAGGGCGAGGCGGATGGGGAAAGAAGTGCCGAGGAGGCCATGGTGGAGGGGAGGGACGGGAGGACGAAAGAAGGGCGAGGAGGACGAGCGGCCCGCACAGGCCGCGAGCAGACAGCGCCTGCTGGCCATTTCGAGACATTCGCAAAGAACGCTGGCTACATGGGAGGGCTTCGTGAAGGATGGATTGAGAAACATTCGAACAAAGAAGAGGCGACGGGAGGAAACGGCAGAGGATGCAGTGACGTGACACACACACACACACACACACACACACACACACACACACACACACACACACACACACACACACACACACACACACACACACACACACACACACACACACACACACACACACACCGCCCACCCACGCGCAACGGGCCTTGCACTTTGAATGCCGTGGGGCTCCTGTCGTTAGACGTGGAGACGCGAGGGTTGCCCCCCCTTGCCCCACCTCGTGTGCGTGGAGAAGTTTACCTTACCTTACCTTACCTTACCTGGTGTACGCCACGGTCCCTCTGGGCTCCGTGGCGACGAAGGTCGCCCGGGACTGGCTCGCCAACGAGCTCTACGAGCCGTCCCGGCGCGGCAAAATTGATGCGGCCTGCAGATACCGAAAGGTCGCCGACCTGATCACGGCTGCCGGCGCCTCGGCGCCGGCCGACGCCGTGTTCAGCGGCAGGTTCGCGACGGGCGAGGCGCCCCGCCCGACGACCTCCGCCTCCAAGGCGGACGAGGGCGACGGCGTCGGCGGCGATGGCGGGACCGGCATCGAGCACTTTGACCTTTTCGAGCCGGACCCCACCCCCATGGAGGACCTCTGAGGTCCTCCCCAGTCTCACCCCACCTTACCTCTGCCCCCCCCTCCCTGCACCCCTCTGCCTCCCATAGGGCAGGATAGCACTAGCATATGCGCCTAGTGCGCACACTGGGCCCACATAGATGTGACCCGCCCACTCGAGTGCGGCGCCCGGATGCTAGTACTTGAGAAGGCACCAACAACGCGGCACGGCCCGTTTTGGCTGTCTGCGGAGATTCTGTCTTAGCACACACAGTGAGTCATTCGGAGTCATTCGATGGCCAGAGTGCGATTGTGTGTGTGTGCGGGAGTTGGTTGTCGGGAGGGAGGGAGGGGCAGGCTGCTGCCTCACCCACGTGCACCGGGCCAGTGCTTACACTTTGAATGCCGTGGGGCTCCTGCCCGTGTCTGGGTGATGCGAGGGTCGTCCCCCCCTAGCTTGCCCCACCACTTTGTGTGTGTGGAGAAATTTACCTTACCTTACCTTACCGTTTGAGCGGTATTTGAGGAGCACTCTGAAGTTCGGCCGTGAACACAGTTCGTTTCATTCTGTGTACTACGTGGTGTACCTGTGTTCGTGCCAGTGCGCGCCAGTCCCGTGCCCAGTGTTGTGCGAGGGAGTTTTGTTGTAAGATTCTGTGTACTATGTATCGCGCATTCACGCCGAGAGAGAGAGAGAGTACGTTCACGTCGTAAAATCCTTATTCCTTCACCTCCGGGGAACCGCACGGAGCTATGTAGATACAGATTTGGCGATTTTGGCCCGGGAAAGCGGGTGGTCTTTGGCTTGCTTGCGACCACTAAGCCCGACGCGCTACAGTTAGCCCCTCTGCTCTCGGACAGGAGACACGCCGCAACGCATAGTTGTAGCCGCCACACATAGGGCCTCTCGCCACCTGCACATCCCCGTGCGCCCTGCTGCGGCGCCACAATGCATCTGCTCGCGGTATGCCTGGCGGCGCACGACTGGTTGGTTTTCCCGCGGTCGCCGCCACTGCCACCGTCGCCCCCAGAGTTGTTGCCACCGCCGGGCCCGCCGCCGCCTCCTCCGTTGGTGTACGATCCAACTGCAATTCTTCGAGACGTGGGCGACTACGGCCTCCGCGAGACATGCCCTGACGGCCAGGAAAAATTAGGCATGGAGTTTGATCTGACGCACGCCACCGAGAAGGTGAATAATCTTGGCGGGTTTCCGGGCGGCATGACGCAGACTACTTGTACTGTGCCGACCAACACCCACACACATTGTGGTCCCAACGGCGACGGTTACTTCCCCTGCGGATGCGCCTGCCAATGCACAAACATGAACTCGGGTCAGGCGCAGGAGCTTCGGTACGAGGTGCGGCTTGTAGAGGCCAAGGCGAGAGAGAGAGGACGCATAGTGTGCCGCCGACCGCGTGGCCGCCCCGATTGCCGATCAGGGCGCGGGCACGTACTACGATGGAACGGGAGGGGCCACACGGTTCGACGTGGTCGTGACCAACGTGACCGAGTACCGGCCGTTTGACAGCCGCCAGAACGGGCGGGGGAATAGCGAGGGCATACACGGGGCCTTCCTGAACATAGACCTCGACCTCAACTCAGAAACCGCCTTCAAGTTGAACTTCTATTCGCACAATTCCGGCGCCGCGCTCGCGATGAGCAATGTCGACTGGTGCGTGTTTGATTTTGATGCGGGCCACGACTTTATGACTTGCTACGGCCCTGACGCGACGAGCAATGACTGCACCAGCCCGGACGCGACAATGCCAGCCGCTGAGATTGAGCAGTTTACGGCTTGCGGCATCAACGAGTACTATATGCATGGAAAGCCTCCCACAACGACTGGCTGCCAGGGAGTCTGTGGATACCCCAGTCTGTGCGGAAACATTGACACCGCTAACTACCTCGACATCACCGAGGTGACCCTAGACGGGCGATCGTGCACTCGGGTGAGAGCGAAGACGCGCGGGACGATCGACGACAACCCTAACACCTTTGAGGACGTCCTTCTCGAAGACTGCAATCTGTGTCGCAGTCCCTGGCCCACAGCTCGGCCCTGACGCCGACAGCGTCCTGATGCTCTGCCTGGCCCCGCCCAACCCTGCAGGTACGACATCTGCCCTTCAGACGGACTATCTGGCGAAGAAGGAAAAACGGGCGAGCTGTACTGCGGCGGCAACCCGAAGCTTCGCCCCGACGGCTATCCCATACCTCCTACGGAGCAGTGCATTACCTGCAACGCGGGTGAGTACTACACCGCCGCGGGTGAGTACGCCACCAACGGCTACCATCAATCCGGCCGCCTCTCGAGCAAGGCTTACCGCTACACCGTACCAAAATTTGTCTGCTTCAACTTTGACGCGAGTTCAGAGGGATTCTACTTTTCCTTGAAGGTCGACACGCCGCCGGGCCCAAATAATGCTGAGCTCTGGCCCGACTACACAGATGGACGCAACTTTCTCATGGGTGGGGTTGGCGTCCCCATCTGTGTATCGTCGCCCCCCCCGCCGTCACCTCCACCCTCGCCTCCTCCGCCGCCCTCGCCGCCGCCGCCGTCCCCGCCACCACCGCCCTCGCCACCGCCTCCTTCGCCACCCCCGCCGCCCTCTCAATCGCCGCCGCCGCCGCCGCCGCCGCCGCCGCCGCCGCCGCCGCCGCCGCCGCCGCCGCCGCCGTCCCCGCCGCCGCCGCCGTCCCCGCCTCCACCGCCCTCGCCACCGCCGCCGTCTCCACCACCGCCGCCCTCGCCGCCACCGCCGTCCCCGCCACCACCGCCATCGCCACCGAAAGCTAATATGGCCCCCACAACCCCGTCCCCACCGCTCATGCCGCCCCCTAGCCCTCCACCGCCACTGCCCCCGCCTCCCCGCTCATCCCCACCCCTCCCACCCCCGCCGTCGTATCCCCCGCCCTCGACGCCCTGGAATTTTGTGGACCTTTCCCCGCTACCGCCGCCTTCGCCCTTGCTGCCGCCGCCCTTGACGCCGCCACCCTCGTCGCCGCCGCCCTCAACGCCGCCACCATCGCTACCGCCGCCTTCGCTGCCACCGCCCTCGCTGCCGCCACCATCGACGCCGCCACCCTCGCTGCCACCGCCCTCGACGCCGCCACCCTCAGCCCCGCCGCCGTCAACGCCGCCACCATCGCAGCCGCCACCCTCAAGCCCGCCGCCCTCGCTGCCGCCGCCCTCGACCCCGCCGCCCTCGTCTCCGCCACCATCGCTACCGCCGCCCTCGCTGCCGCCGCCCTCGCTGCCGCCGCCCTCGTTGCCGCCGCCCTCAACGCCGCCGCCCTCGCTGCCGCCGCCCTCAACGCCGCCACCATCGCTACCGCCGCCCTCGCTGCCCCCGCCCTCGCTGCCGCCGCCCTCGACGCCGCCACCCTCAGCCCCGCCGCCGTCAACGCCGCCACCATCGCAGCCGCCACCCTCAAGCCCGCCGCCCTCGCTGCCGCCGCCCTCGCCGCCGCCGCCCTCGCTGCCCCCGCCCTCGCTGCCCCCGCCCTCGCTGCCGCCGCCCTCGCTGCCGCCGCCCTCGACGCCACCGCCATCATCGCCGCCGCCCTCACTGCCGCCGCCCTCGGCCCCGCCGCCCTCTCCACCTCCACCGTCACCGCCGCCACCCTTGCCGCCACCGCCCTCGTCACCGCCGCCCTCGGCCCCGCCGCCTTCAGCCCCGCCGCCCTCGCAACCGCCGCCCTCCCCGCCACCGCCCTCCCCGCCACCGCCGGCTGCGCCATCGCCGTCTCCGCCGCCGCCGTCTCCGCCGCCGCCGTCTCCGCCGCCGCCTTCACCGACTCCCCCGTCGCCACCACCGCCCTCGACGCCGCCGCCGTCGCCGCCGCCGCCCTCACTACCGCCGCCCTTAGCACCGCCACCATCGCAGCCGCCGCCGTCGCCGCCGCCGCCATCCTCACCGCCGCCTTCACCGACTCCCCCGTCGCCGCCGCCGCCCTCGCCACCCCAGCCCTCTCCGCCGCCGCCGTCACCGCCGCCGCCCTCTCCACCGCCGCCGTCGTCGCCGCCGCTGTCGCCGCCCTCGTCGCCACCGCCTTTCACGCCACCGCCCTCGCAACCGCCGCCCTCGTCGCCGCCGCCTGCATCGCCGCCGCCAGCGACGCCGCCACCGGCCGCTCCTCGCCATTTAATCGTCTCGCCATCGTCACCTCCTGGCTCGCCCCCAATTTCCCCACCACCGCGGCTCCCACCTGTTTCGCCGCCGTCGCCGCCGCCGCCGCCGCAGGGTTCCGCAGACAAGGATCCGTAACCACCCGTAGATGCCAACGGCCCACTACCGTTCAGCCAGTGCCACATCGCGCGCCTCACACCTAACCTACACCTATCCTGGCGTCTCACCGCTCTTCCGTCTCTGCAGGCACTTCCACTTTGCGCACGGCGGCCGCGCCGACTTTCGTGGCAGGCACGGGGTCTATTACTCCTTCTTCTCCGCCCCGAACGTCGCCTGCAACGTCAAGATCGAGAACGCCACCTTCAAGCTACGCGGCGGAGAGCTGGTGGTTGACGGCTCCTTCATCACCGAGGCGACCTTGCAGCGGCCGCAACATCACCGAATCGTTGGGTGAGATTGCACGTCCGTCCCTAGGTGCACCTGGTAGCGCGGGTCGGCGGCATCAAGCGCAAGCGCGCCACAGCCTCCTTCTGGGCTTCCGAGCTGAACGACTTCAACTACGGCTGGAAGATGGTCAACGGCACCTGCGGGGGTAAGCGCTTCAGGCTCGGACCGACGGCCAGCAAGCAGTGCGAGGAGTTCGCCGCTCGGCTCGGCCACTCAAGTGCAAGGTTTGAGATTCGGGGCTGGACGATCCACGTCAAGGGCCGCCCCGTCTACGATCGCGTCCGAGGTCCGCACCACCGGCTGGACGTGGGATTCAGTGCCGCAGCGGGCGCCCCGACACGGTCCCATCCACACGGCCTCATCGGCCAATCCTTCACGAACCCGCCCGAGTATCCGCGCGAGGGCAAGGTCGACATGTACCCGAGGGAGGGCCACTTTACTACGAGTGCGATGGCCGAGGGGGCTATCGACGGCGCGGCGGAGATGTACGAAATGGCTGGGCCGCACGCGACGGATTTCGTCTTCTCGCGCTTCGACAGCGCCGAGGCAGATATGCATACAGAGGTCAGTGCAGGGCCAAGCCTAGCTGAAGGGCAGACTTTAGAACAGCTCGGCTCGAGCGCGGACGCCTCTTCGACGGACTTAGAGCATAGAGGGCGGGGGGAGCACATGTCACTCCGTACGTGAGAACGTGAGTCTAGAGTAGTATTTTACAACAAAGCTCCCTCGTACGTGGCTGGGTTCACAGCGATTGTAGGAAAATGACGGGACACTTGACGGTCGCGGCCTTCCGACTCGCGCCTCCGCCTCACTGGCACTATTGTAGCCCTGGCCGGTGCGCGTGCTCAGTTGAAGTTCCGGAGTGAAAATTCGAACGCGTTCTCTCCCGGTGACCAAAAAATGTCCACCTCAGAGGCACCTCCGGAGGCAGGCCGCCGCACGCCGGCGACACAGCTCCAGCTGTCGAACTGACCCGCAGCTCCTCTCAGAGCGGGAACTGTGACAAAAGTTGACTGAGGCGGTTGTCAGGAATCATCATACGGATCACATGGTGGCTCTTTCATGACGGGAGACCGCCCTACCACTCCTGGGTGGCACTGCCACCGGTGTCGCTCGACGTCCTGTCGACAGCGTGCCGACAGCGACACAGACCATGTGGGACGCGTCGAGTATCGACCTCTACTGCTTACCCAGCCTTCGAGTGTATCCTGGCTGTGGTCCCACACCCACTGGTGTCCATCTCAGAGACCGCAGGAGGTCATGAGAGTCGATGGGAGTGCCAACCCCACAATGCCTAAAGACCCAGCCCAGTAGTTGTAGTAGTGCTCGAAAATCTAAGACCTGGTTAGCGTTCACGTGTCTACGATACCGTCTGCTGTACGAAAGAACGTGGTGTAACAAAGGATGGTAAACGCTTTCACACAGTCACGAGTGTGTCTGTGTGTGATAGATCTCCTCTGCCTCTCCATCTCCAGGAGCAGGACCGGTTCTGCTGGTGCCTGTGTCCCCCCGCTCGCTGCACACGGCCGGGGGCTATCTGATCTTTCTACGTTTCTTTCGGACGTCTAAGGCACACAGTATCCGATTAAATACGTAACCGCTCATATCTTGTGGCGTTGTGGTTGTTTTTTTCATATGTTTGTTGCGTCGTTTTTTGTTCATTGGAGTGAGGATTGCGAGGGGTCTAAAAAAGGTATACGTTCTCTCTCGCACAGACCATGTTCGCGCGCGCGGGTCTCGCGCGCAAACCGAGATTACCGCCAGAGAGCGAATGCACAATAATCTCATCTCGACCTTGCCGAATCCGGCCGGGCGGGGACCTTCTCGCTCGAGAGCTCGGACGCGCCCCATATAGCTGGACGGATGGAGGTCAAATGTTTGTCACGTCGAGCCCGGCGGCCCTCCTTGCCCCCACGTCGTCGACGAGCGCCTGTGAAGACCGGACAGGGGAGGGGCCCTCACAGTGGGCCGCATCTGGGCCGCATCTGGGCACCTCCGGCCGCATCTCGGCCGCATCTCCTCCCCCTCGGCCGCCTCTCGGCCGCCTCTCGCCTGCCAGTCCGGCGTGCCGAGCCGGCGCGTGCCGACGCGGCCGTTCTTCTTGAGGACAATGGTTAGCCCGCGCTCGGCCGCCGTGGGCGACTGCTTGGCCGCCGCCTCGAGCTCCGGTAAGAGTGCCTGCCCCCACTGCGCCGCCGCCTGAGGCATCGCCACCGGCCAGCTGCCCGCGGCATCAGGCGCATCCGCGACCCACGGCAGCGGGGGCTGCGTCCTCACCTCCCCGAGAGGCGCGGTGCGGGGTGCGGCCGCGGTCGCCGCCACCTCGCCCGACGGGACTGCCCCTTGCAGCATCTCGAGCGGCGGCGCCTCGAGCGCCGCCGCGCCGCGCCCGGGCGGCAGCGACAGCAGCGGCACGACAAGGATGTCTGCGGCAAGCAGCTCCGCCGCCGACGCCGCCGCATCAGCAAGACTCTGCTTGAGAGCGTCGGAGGGGGCGGCGACGAGGACGACCCGCCGCGCCTGGCCGCGCCCGCGGCGCAAGTCGGCGAGAGTGGCGGTCTGGCCAAAGGCGCCGCCACCTGCGCCGAGCTGCGTCACCCGCAGAGCGGCGAGGCGCGCGCCAAAGGCGATCCGGCGCAGCCTCGAGTCGCGCGCATCCAGCTCGCGCTTCCAGAGGAAGCCCGTCGTGCCGACGGCCGTGAGGTCGATGCCGAGGTCGACGAGCGGCGACGAGCCGGCCGCCTGCTCCCGCGCCCCGACAGCGACGGCGAGCATGCCGGTGGCGGCAAAGTAGGTTGCGACGACGGCGGCCGCAAAGAGGGTCGGCCAGACGAAGAGGCGCGCCTTGGCGAAGGGCGCCTCGGCCTCCTCGCGCAGCCGCTGCTGCGACGAGAAGTCGCACGCCGCTGGCACCCCTCCGCGTGGCGTGACTGGAGCGGCGAACCACCGGTGTGACGCTGTGGTGAGCCGCGGCGCTGGGCGGGAGAAGCGCGTGTGGGCGATGGCGGAGGCGGAGATCAGTATCAAGTACATCGTCGGCCACAGCGCGACGCACCAGGCAGCCACTTCCAGGAAGGGGCCCTCTTCGATGAAGAATTTTAAAAAGTACTCTCTCTCTCTCTCTCTCTCTCTCACAGTCCACCTGTGTGATGCACGCCCTGCGAGCGGGGCGGGGTGCGCACTGTCCCTCTGTGTTCGTGTGCGTCGCCCATCTCTCCCTGGAGATGACTGCTCTATTTATTTATTTATTTATTTATCTCTCTCTCTCTCTCTCTCTCTCTCTCTCTCTCTCTCTCTCTCTCTCTCTCTCTCTCTCTCTCTCTCTCAGCCTGTCCTCCTCCCCTATCCCTCGTTTGGGTTGTCCTGCTTTCTTTCTTTCTTTTAGCAGACAGGCTCGACACAGGTGCGGACTGGCGCATGCTAGCACTGTCACAGGCGAACCACCGGAGCCGCCTAAGCGACTCGAAGAAAAAAAACGCGCAAAAAAGTACTGCGATGGCGCGGCTCTGCTTGCTGCGAGGCCGCGGCGAGGCACTTTAGCTCCGGCGACGAGACGAATAATAAAAAGAATTTCACGAGCCCTCCCTCTAACAACAATGGCGACTGGGCGCGGGGACTCGTGGCACGCGCCGCGACTGACACGCGCCGCGACATCGGGAGGGGCCGTCCACACACATGCACCGGCTCTTGCGCGCCGGACGCTGTGGCCTCTCGACACGAGTCTGCGCGATGGGGCGGGGCGATCATGGCGGACGGTCACGGTCACGGGAGAGCGGGGGTGCACAGCCCAATCTGGCACTTGTTCAGCCCCGGTTTTGTCGTAATCCGAGTTGCAGACAGTACGTGTTTTGCGTTGTCATATTCGCCAGCAGGAATCGATGACGTGCTGCAGACAGAGCTTGAGCTGACGGTGTCAGGCCGAGAGGCCAGGCCTGGGCAACAGTATACTGCGCCGGAGTGCTTTTGCACACGTAGTCGCCGTTCGCCCTCGTGCCCAGATAGCACGCCGAGCAGCCACGCGTGCAGCCGCCCGCGTAGCTTGCAGGCGTGGTTTGTGTCCACGGGGTCGACATAGAACTGCGTGCACGTGGCGTTCAGCTCGGCCTCGGTGGCAGTGAGGCCGTTGATCGGGCTCCAGCACCAGCTCTCGTCGAGCGAGCCCGTCAGGCGCGTGCGGTGCTGCGTGTACTCGGGGAGGCCGGGGCTTGGTCTCGATGCCATCGTGCCCGTGAAGTCTTCCGAGCGCTGCAGGCGTCCCCGGCCTGTGTCGTGCACAGGTGCACATCAGTTTGTAGGCTTTGATAGGGAAGCTCCGATGTGCATCCCCCCGCGAGGTATGCGTCGTCCAGCCTCACCTCCAGCACGGCCGCCGTGTCAAAGTAGCTGTGAAGAATGGCGTTCTTCTGCTCGGGGTCGAGCGACTGGCCTTGGTTTGAGGGAGTGATAGGGCACGAGATGCCCCCCTGGTTGAAGGACACCTTATACGGTGTGTCGTCGTTGACGTTGAAGTCCGCCCGCAGCGTCATCAGCTGCGAAACGTCAAGATCGCCAAAGCACGAGTCTTCCTGTACGCCCGTCAGGGACCTCTCTGATGATGTCTTCGGGTGCTCGGCCAGCTCCTTGTGCAGCCGCAGCGCCCGCCGAAGCCCGAACTGTTCTCGGCACTGCGCCGATGACGATGCGGACTGCGATTTCTTTTCTAAGCCGCCACACGACTGAGAAGAAAAACGCGGCCGTCTCACACACAGCTCTCCAACTCACAGCCTCACAAGGCGCGCAGCAACTCGGCCTTCTTCGCGTCATAGTCGGCCTGCGTGATGAGCCCCGCATCGAGCATGCGCTTCAGCTCGGACATCCTGCCAGACACGCCGGGCTGGCTCGTGGCGCTCGCAGCGACCGCGGCCACTGGCACCGCTTGCACAGGCGCAATTTCCTGGGCCTCGCCAGCTGCCCTGCCCGGCAGCAGCACGCGGATCACCGAGCGTTGCCCGTCGCGGTACTTGTTGGGCATGCGGCCGGGGAGGAACTGCGCGGCGAGGGCGGTGTGTGAACGCAAGGTGTGCATGTGGGGCGCGGCGTGGAGCAAGGTCAGTCCCCGCTATGACTGTACCGTGATTGTGCTGATCCCAGTGTAGTCGGGTATCGGCTCAAGTGAACAATACCACAGTGTCTCGGGCGCGCCGCCTGTACCCTCAGCCCCTTGGTGGCCCAGGGACGCAGCGCCTCCGCCACAGCCTTGGCGCAGCTGTCCGCCATCCGCCGCAGCTGGCACTCAATGATAAGGTAGCCAGTGAAGGCGACCGGCAGCAGCAGCACGGCGAGAACGCCAAGGCAGCGGCTCGAGCAGTTTGGCGCCACCCCCGCGTAGCTGCAGCAGCCGCTGCCAACTGTGCTGTCGATGGCGGCGTTTACGGCCGTCATGGTCTGCTCAAACTCGGCCGGCGTGAGGTACTGCCGCAGCTGCGGTGGGATGCGCGTGCACGCCGTGGCGGACCAGCGGCAGGCGAACGCCTCTCCCCTGTCCTGGATGGTGCACCAGACGTCGGATTCGATGTCGACGGCGTTTGCCGGGCGGTTGGCCAGAGGCATCGCGCGAAGCAAACTGCCACAACTGGGTTCCGGCTCCTACTCGAGTAGCGGATACTCGGTACCTAGGTAGGAAGATGTGGCCAGCTCGTGGGAAGGCAGCCCACGTGGGAACGCCACCCCCCATTAGAGGGGCACGCCACCTGGCCCACCCCCGCTCCTAGTTGCGCACGGGAGCGGTGCACCGGAGCGGTGCGCAGTTTCATATGAACTGCACCGCTCCGAGTCGGGGGTGGTGCGAGTGGTGCAGTCCGGCGCACCTCCGCCGCGCCGAGCGTGGAGCCCTCCGGCGAGCCGCAGGCTCGCGCCGACGCGCCAGCGGCATCGTACGGGATGACGGCCGCCTCGCCATGTCGATCTCCGCGCACGCGGCGCGCTCGATCTCCGCGGTCGGCTGCCGCAAAAGCGGCTGGCTCACGACAGCGTTTTGCCGGTTGTCGGGTGGGAGAGTACATGTCGTCTGGTGTGTGGCGTGTACCTAGTTTTGATCGCGGCAATAAAGCGGTCGAACGAATAAGCGACAACCGGGCGGGGGTGTGCATTTCAGTGTATGTAGCTCTTACGAACATACCCGTAGGTTATTTCATATGAGGAGGCGTGCCTGTCATATGAGGGGGCGTGCATGGGGGCGTGTCCCCGGAGCACCGCCCCCGTGCGCTGTCATATGAGGGGGCGACCGCGTGCATGGGGGCGTGCCCCCGGAGCACCGCCCCCGATCGGGAGTGGTGCAGTTCATAGGCGGGGGTGGTGGCGCCGAGCCCGCCTCCTCCCAGCCCGCCGCCCCCCTCGCCGCCGCCTCCGTCTCCCCCACCGCCGTCGCCGCCGCCACCGTCGCCGCCACCGCCGAGCCCGCCTCCTCCATCACCGCCTCCCCCCTCACCTGCGCCACCCTCTCCCCCGCCCCCATCGCCGCCGCCGCCCTCGCCGCCTCCGCCCTCGCCGCCGCCTCCGTCTCCTCCGCCGCCCAGCCCGCCTCCTCCCTTGCCTCCGCCACCCTCACCGCCGCCACCATCGCCGCCGCCACCGTCGCCGCCGCCGCCCTCGCCGCCGCCGCCCTCGCCGCCGCCGCCCTCACCGCCGCCACCAAGCCCGCCGCCGCCGAGCCCGCCACCGCCTTCGCCTCCGCCGCCCTCGCCGCCGCCCCCAAGCCCCCCGCCACCAAGCCCGCCGCCTCCATCGCCACCACCGCCCTCGCCCCCGCCACCGTCCCCCCCGTCGCCAAGCCCTCTGCCGCCGTCGCCGCCTCCGCCGTCCCCCCCACCACCGTCGCCGCCGCCGCCCTCGCCGCCGCCTCCTTCACCGCCGCCTCCGAGCCCGCCGCCACCCTTCAGATTTTTTCAGTGTATGTGGCTCTTACGTACATCCCGGAGGGAGGAGGAATCTGCTGACAGGGTTTGCGATGAGGAATTCTTTTCTGTTCAAAAAATGCCAATAGCGCTCTGTTTGCCTGTAGCCGGGCGGCACCCCGCCTCGCTCAACACAGAAAAAGAAGCGAAATTCAATGTCGGCGGTTCCTGGCGAGATTCTGCAATGTCAGCGACGCAAAGCCAGCAGGCTCCTGGCGGCCCGTCAAACGCCCGCCGCAAATTGATCATCGTCGCTGCGTTTGCCGCTAGCGTGTCGGCGAGCCCTCCGTCGCCACCCAGCGCACCTGCTTGCAACTTTGTTGCCGACGTGGTTCTCGTGTTGGATAGCAGCGGCAGCATCGACGAATCTTCAAGTCGACCAGGGGTCGCAAAGTTCGCAACGGATATCATAAACGACTTGGCGGTCGACGAGAATTTCGTGCACGTCGGCATTGTGGAGTTCGCTTCAAATACATACGTGTGCAGCAATCTCACGTACGACGACAACACACTTGCATCTGCCATTAATGATACATACAAGGCGAACATCAAACCCGATCCTGGGGACCGAGCAGCGAAAACATTTATTTCCAACGCGCTCCTCCTCGGAGAGCAGCTGCTGACTCGTACCGGCCGAACTGAAGCCACGAAGATCATGCTCCTCCTGACCGATGGGGAGCAGACCTGCAGTCGCAACTACCCGGACACCGGAGATAGCTGCCCGGCTGATGGAGAGAGCTACATCGAGAATTGCTATGTCGACTGGGACTTTGGCAACTCGACCCATACACCGAGTGGGAGCCCTCTCGGCCCTTACATAGGCGACTTGCCTAGGATGTGCGGCTCGGAGGCGGAGAACACGAACAACTATCAATACAGAAAGCCAGAGGCGATATGGCAGGCGGAGCTGATCAAGAACCGGAACCCGGAGCTCGTCCTCTTTGCAGTCGGCTTCGGAGCGGTGAGCCACGAAACGCTAGGCAACATAGCAACGCCCGGCTACAGCTTCAAGGGCACCGACATTCAAGCCGTCACCGCCGAGTTTCAGAAGAATAGCTACTTCTCGTGCCCACCGCCGTCGCACCCGCCGCCGCCGTCCCCGCCGCCACCTTCCCCTCCTCCCCCGTCGCCGCCGCCCCCGTCTCCGCCTCCACCTTTGCCGCCTCCGCCCTCTCCGCCACCCCCGTCGCCGCCTCCGCTGTCGCCACCGCCGCCATCGCCGCCGCCGCCGTCGCCACT